AGCTATCTTTGATTTGAGGTGCATTCCCAAGATTTTACTTAAGTGTAACATAAAACTGTGAAAGTTTAGCAGGGGAAAAGCTTTCCTCCCACTGACCTGGCCGGCCAATCAGAAGGGAGCCCCGCACCTCCCTCACTTCTGACAACTATTTAGCAACTGAGCTCAGCTAAAGTTTCCAAAAAGTTAGAATAACTTCCTCTCTCCAAGACCTCAATTTTTTGCACAACCCCGGTCCTTGAAATAAGAGCCCTTCAAGCAACCTGGAAAACGTTTGGTCAGCAAAAAAAAAAAAAAAAAAAAAGCCCTCCTGTTTTTCCAAAGGATCTGTCTCAGGAATTTAAAGCACATTTAAGACACACACACACTCACATAACATAAGGAGGGGGGGAAAGTCTCTTCCCCTCCCCTTCTTGCAGAAAGCATGGAAGAAAGCTCCAGTTCTCCTGTTTCCCCTGTGGATAGCTTGGGGACCAGTGAAGAGGAGCTGGAAAGGCAGCCAAAGAGATTTGGCAGGAAGAGAAGATACAGTAAGAAGTCCAGCGAAGATGGCAGCCCTAACCCAGGGAAGAGGGGGAAAAAGTCCAGTCCCAGCTCCCAATCTTATGAAGAACTGCAGAGCCAGAGGATCCTGGCCAATGTCAGAGAGAGGCAGAGGACTCAGTCGCTCAACGAAGCTTTTGCCGCCTTGAGGAAAATCATCCCCACTTTGCCCTCTGACAAACTCAGTAAAATCCAGACCCTCAAGCTGGCGGCGCGGTATATAGACTTCCTCTACCAGGTGCTACAGAGCGACGAGATGGACAGTAAGATGACGAGCTGCAGTTACGTGGCTCACGAGAGGCTGAGTTATGCCTTCTCCGTATGGAGGATGGAGGGAGCGTGGTCCATGTCAGCTTCCCACTAGCCACCGCCCGGGCCAGGCAAGCCCAGCTGCCGAAGGGGTAGGTACCGATTTCTCTTCTCCTGGATGATGGTCCGTGTCTGTCTGGCTGCAGGATAGGGCACCCGCGGCTCCCTTTGCCAGCCCAGCTTTGCCACCAGGCTCAGTCCTGCCTGCGGAGGGGTGGCACAGCTTGGTGGGGCACGGGGACGCTGCTGGGCAGGGGGTTTAGGGCCACTGACCCAGAGGCAAGATGGGCAGCATAAATGTGTCTGGCCCCCTCCCATTCCGCTGCACCTGTGAAAAATAAAAAAAGAAACAAGGAACTTCCAGGCAGGCGAAAATTAGATATGCCCCATTTAAAAAAAAAAAAAATCAGCATGTTTCTGCTCTGTGGGGATTGGGGAGCTGAGAGGGGACTGGTGTTGAGAACTGTCTGATGAGGGTCGGAGGGGAAACCACCGCTGCATGAGATTTGCCAGAAAACACTGCTTTGGGGAAGGATTTTAAGAGAGGAAAAGGCGATCAGTGCAACAGGCTGACAAGGGGATCCAAAACAGCTGCTGCCCCACTCCGCGGGTGCCTGCACCCAAAAAACCCAGTGCTGAGCCAGCGGTCCCAGGGCAGCCGCATCCTCTCCCGGCCAGGGAGTCCACAAGACCCAAGCGGGCTTTGGTGACAAGTTCGCCCCCGGTTATATTTCTCTTAAAAGAAATGAGCAGCAGATGTCGGCTGCAACCCCAGGCTGTGCCCCTTCCCCCTCACACAATAAAAAGCAAACAAAGATAGAAGAAACTTTGCCAGATTTTCGTATTTGCTTGGTTTCCCTTCCCCAAAGTACCAGTAAAGCAAAGGCTGGTGTTAGATGTAGTTTCTTATTTACTCTCATCACTAAACCCTTCCTCATCATTTTCCATTAGCAGAAAACTACTTCCTCTTAAGTTGCCTTTGTAATATTTAGGGGGGGAGGAATAAACAGTAAGAAAGGAGGGGGGGGAAAAGAGGCTCATAACACCCTCATCTCAAGCTAATTAAGCAGAGCAGCTCTGCGTTGTGTCAGCCAGAGTTTGCATACGGCCGGTCACTCTCTGGAGCTCAGTACATAAAGCAGAGCCCGCAAAACGATTTCGGCCAGCAAACATTCGAAAGGGAAATTTGCCGCCCCCCCCAACCCCGTAATGTCGCACGTGATGTAAAATGAAATAATTTCATCATGCAGAGAATCGACTCCTTAAAGACGAAAAGAAAGTTTATCCCAGCCCACTGGCCAGGCTTTTTTAAAGAGGCAAATCCATCTTTGTTTTAACAGCAATAAATAGCTCATTTAAAAAAAAACCCTTGATGCAACTACAGTACTTTGTTTGAAAAAGCCAAAAAGTGTTCAGCCAGGGCTTACTAGTGGTGTAAAATGCGGACTTAAAACCATTTTAGAAACCACTTCAAGTAAATGTTTTACCCGTGTCCTGAAATGGTTTGCATTTTGGTGCTGTAATTAAGGTTTCCACGCGCTCTTCTAGGGAGCCCCCAAAATGTTAGGCTGTTCAAAAATTGGTTACTCCAGCCATCGTACAAGCTGCCTGTTATTTAGTTTTGTTTCAATAGGTAATGCTGCTGTTGTGGGTTTTATGGCTATTGCTGGTGCTACTATTTTTTCATGCTGTGCCCTAATTTCAACTGCAAAAAGCCAAAGTAGAGTTGCTTTTTAAAAGGATAAACCCTCCGTTTATAAAACAAAGTGTCTTTTCCCATGCTAATCTAGCTAAAAAGCTGCATTAAATAGATTAAAAAAACACACATACAAAACCCCAGGCTTCTTGTCAAAAACAGATGTAAAATGTCCCAAACACGTATTTCTTCAGCAGTTTAGATTGGCCGAATAGTAAAGTGCTGGGATGGAACAATGCATTTATTCTGTTGTTTCCCCAAATGATGTGCTGCCATTAGCCAGTGATGTTTTTAAAACTGTTATATAATATACAACCATTCCTCTCCATCGCACAGTACTTTCAGCAGCAAAACCCGCTTTTTTAGCCGTATTAATAATTCAACCAAACGTAATTTTTAATTAGCACTGCTCTGACAAGGCAGATTTTATACATAGATGCTCAGATTGTCCCTACCTAAAAGAAATTGCGAGCAACATTTCAGACTGCGCAAAAAAACCCCATGATATAGTGGCAAACCCTGATGCATCTTCCATTTGCTTCAGAGTGAATCGGTATTTGGAGTCTTTGCCGTAACCTGACTTCCAGCCCCATGGTTAGAGGTAGCTTTTTGCTCTAAGTTTGCATCCCCTATAGACGAGGGTCACTTTTCCCTGAGCCCCCGGGCTTTCCCCCCTTGCCTGCCTTTTTTGTGCCTGTGTGTGCATGCACACACGTGTGGTTGAACTGTTGAAAACTGTGTTGACAAATGGCCTGGTGCAGTGCGGTGTCAAATTCTATCGTTTATGGTGACAAAAATTACATCTGCCAGCCAAAAAAAAAAAAGTACGACAAGATCCTCAAGAAACCCTCTAAAATGGGGCAACTTAGCTGGGTGGCATGTCACTGATGTCTGCATGGGTCTGCCCTGGCCAGAGGAGTTTTTACGCGTAACAGGGGTGCAGCCTGTGCAGTCTTGATGGCAAAAAAACTCCTTAAGAAACAGCTCTCCGAATTTGGGATCAGATCCTCCCTTTCCCACGGAGTAGTGAGCACTGCAAACATTGGGTGAGCACGAAGGGGTGAGCTCCATTTGGGCTGGATTGCCATGGCCATCCTCCCTTTTCCCTGGATTTTGGGGAGACATAGGCAAGGAAAGACTTTCTCTTTGGAGAAATGGTCATTCCCCTTTGGCTGCAAAAGAATCAGAGGAGCTTTTTGATTAGAAAGTCAGAGCCCTGGGAACTGGTAAAATGCCACCTGGCCTTTGCAAATGCCAGCAGGTCACCGCTGCTCGCTCCTCTGGCCACAGAGACATTTTCCGGTTCTGCTCCATGTAATTACAGGCAACTTACTCCAGTAGTTTCAAGAGAAGCAGGCACAGCTTTGCACTTCAATTAGCGCAATAGGATGTTTCAACAGACACACAAAGCTGAGCCTTCGTCCCCCAAATATCCCCATCCTCATCACCAGCACCTGTGCTCCTTTCCTTGCAGCCAGCTTTCTCTTTTTCCTTCAACACATTCAAGAAGCTCTAAACTGCAAAAAAAAAATCAGGGCAAGAGAAAATGTTTACTGTTGTTCCGTTTAGTAGGAAAAATACCGTCCAACCGGGATGCCAGGAGCATCAGCAAAGCGTAAAGTACGATGGAGTCCTAACCTTCGTCCCAGTAAGACCAGTCTGCCAGCGATCCCCATCTTCCCACTCGCTGCTGCAGGGCTTGGGATGAGCCCTTTGCCTCCCCTGGGCTGGCACTGGCACTAATAACACCTTTCCCAGCATTTTTGTGCTGGGGAAGCCGCAATCCATGTGTGCACATGATAAGCAGCCTTCTTACCATTGCGCCTTCAGACTTCCAGGGCTGTTTCCAGTATAAAACGCTAGCATCCTATTTCATTTTGTCCTTAAGAAGCAAACAGATGTTATCTGTGCTGGCCCTGGGAACAACCTAATCGTATAGTTTATGAGAGCAGTACAGTTAACTGGGGGTGTTGTGACACTGGAACTAAGCCCTTTTTGTCCCAAAAGCCCTATTTTTTTATACGCATCCTTAGAAAAATGTAAATATGTTTCCTTGACAGGAAGGATTGTAAAGTTTGGTATTTACATTAATAGGCTTGTAGCAGGGGGGTTTCATCTTAGTGCATTTAAAAGCCCAGCAAAATGCATGTTGGATCTTCTGTTTACGTTCGTGCCTTTTCTTGGGAAAGAATAAATCTGTTACACAGTGGACACCAAATACGCTGCAGTCAGCCAGAAAACGCTCAGGCTCAGACCTTTGAAAGAGAGGGTGCAATGAAAATGGTCCAGAGAAGGAGACATACAAAAGACAAATCTGCCGTGGACTAGATGCATATAAACTAATTACCAATCGTAAACAGAGACATACACAGTGGAGGGAAAATGTTGGATCAAAACCGAAGGACCGCTTAGAAGAGCGGCAAAAGCATGTTATTACTTAATCTGCCGGAGCCAGGGCTGTGGTAAAAGTCCTGTCGGGAGAGATGTGCATTGAAGGGTCACTAAGGGAACAGTCAAGGCATACATTTCAACTACGTAGACCTAATTTGTCTCCAAATTAGTCATCCTCACACCAGTCATCTCTGCAGAATAGCTCTAATTTTAAGAGCTACAAAGCATCCTCATTAAAACAAAGGGGAAGGTTGCAATGCTTCTCCTTTGCAACCTCCCTTCACATTCCTTCCTTCAGTGCTTTTTGGGGCATATTTGGTAGAGTTGTAGGTAGCGGTGATAAATTAGCCTTGGAGATCACAGCAGCCTCTTACAGAGCCAGGA